TTCCCTATTGAGTTGTGGAATGACTGATGGTTTTTGTATTTGTTGAATGCAGGTTATGGATATGCTAGGGCCTAGCTTATGGGATGTTTGGAATAGTAACTCACATGCGTAAGCTTTCTTCCTGAAAACTTTACTTTGTGCTGGGCTGAGGATCTGAAGATTTTTCTAAAATACCAATTGCATTCATTGCTTCCTATAAGTATCGACTTTTTGTTGCTTGTTCACCATCTGATTTATATTTTTCTAATCTATCCCAGGATGTCAACAGAGATGGTTGCATGCATCGGCATAGAGGCTATATCTATATTAGAGAAAATGCATTCTAGAGGGTAAGATTCTTCTACCCTTGCTGCTAATGATTTCCGAGCAAGAATTGGTAATTGGATTGTTGCATTCATTTCTGCTTTTGCTACTGCTCCTTGGATTGGTAAGAATGTTTATGGTGCTATATTTGTGCTCCTGTTTCTGCAGATATGTGCATGGGGATGTTAAACCAGAGAACTTTCTGCTTGGGCCTCCTGGAACTCCTGATGAGAAAAAACTTTTCCTTGTGGATCTCGGTTTAGGTAGACTGTAATAATGTAACAAAATCAAGCATGTTTCTTTGAAATCGCATTGATTATCTAATTCCTTTCAACCTTGCAGCTACGAGATGGCGGGATAATGCAACTGGTCTACATCTTGAATATGACCAGCGCCCTGATGTATTCAGGTAAGTTGGATTATCTAAGGTTATATCATTCTTTATTGATGATAAATTACGGGAGCTCTTTTTGATCTGATGCAAATCAATAATGTGTTGATTTTTGGATTTCAGGGGTACAGTACGGTATGCTAGCGTACATGCTCATCTTGGCAGGACTTGTAGTAGAAGGGATGACTTGGAATCTCTTGCGTACACTCTTGTTTTCCTTCTTCGGGGCCGGCTTCCATGGCAAGGGTATCAGGTTGGGGGCTTAAAAGTTTGAGACGTTTCTGTATTTGTTTCTCTTGCCAATCATTAACCTACTTATTTCTCATAGGGAGAAAACAAAGGTTTCCTTGTCTGCAAGAAGAAGATGGCTACTTCTCCGGAAACTCTTTGTTGCTTCTGCCCTCAGCCATTTCGACAATTTGTTGAGTATGTGGTCAATTTGAAGTTTGATGAGGAGCCTGATTATGCTAAGTATATTTCTCTTTTCGATGGTATAGTCGGCCCAAACCCAGACATTAGACCAATAAATACTGATGGTGCTCAGAAGGTATTTTGGTGATCTCCTTGGTGAGACGTTACAGGGGAAACTATTATTTACCCAACTTTTTAATGGTTTCTTTGCCTTGTATAAAGCTCATACATCACGTGGGTCAAAAGAGGGGGCGATTGACAATGGAAGAGGAAGATGAACAACCAAAGAAGAAGGTTCGATTGGGGATGCCAGCAACACAATGGATCAGTGTTTATAATGCTCACAGACCAATGAAGCAAAGGTACCGTTGTATATGTTGTTTGATAGTTTGTGGTTCCTATGCAGACAAAAACACAGAGCTAACACTTTTTCCCTCTTGCTGTAGATATCATTATAATGTGGCTGATATAAGGCTTGCGCAGCATATCGACAAAGGAAATGAAGATGGACTATTTATCAGCAGTGTGGCATCTTGCTCGAATCTCTGGGCTTTGATCATGGATGCGGGAACCGGCTATACTGCACAAGTTTATCAGTTGTCACCATGCTTTCTCCACAAGGTAGATTGTCTTCAATTTTCTCTCTTGCAATCTTCAAAAGTTTATCATCCCCACATGTTAATGCCTGCAAGGTTGCTGTCATTTTACATTGAAGTACGTTCTAGCTTTTGCTTTTACCATTTTTGTGTTCTGCCTGGTGTTTAGGTTAATTTTGCTTTGTTTTATAGGAGTGGATTATGGAACAATGGGAGAACAATTATTACATTACAGCAATAGCAGGAACAAATAATGGGAGCTCATTGGTTGTTATGTCGAAGGGTAATATTCATATTGTATTTTAGATGCATGCATAAGGGTTGGTGACTATTTTATTTATGTTTGGCTGCTTTCATTCTTTTATTTTCAGGGACCCAGTATTTACAGCAGTCCTACAAAGTTAGTGAATCATTTCCCTTCAAGTGGATAAATAAAAAGTGGAGGGAAGGTTTTTATGTTACTTCAATGGCGACTGCTGGAAGCAGATGGGCAATTGTAATGTCTCGTGGTGCTGGTTTTTCTGACCAGGTCTATGAAGTTCTATTTTTTTGGTGCTTTTACTTGATTTATGCTTCTCCACTTCCCAATTGAGATTCATCATAGTAATATGGAAACTTTTGTTTTCTTGGTGCAGGTTGTAGAATTAGATTTTCTATACCCTAGTGAAGGTATACATCGGAGATGGGATAGTGGTTACCGAATTACATCACTAGCTGCAACTTTGGATCAGGCTGCATTGATTCTTAGTGTACCAAGAAGAAAGCCTGCAGATGAGACACAGGAGACTCTTAGGACCTCTGCGTTCCCTAGCACTCATGTCAAGGTTTGTTTTGATGATTTCTCGTCTCTATTAAATTTGATTTTCTCAACGTCCAGAGGTGTAAGTTATCTTCTTTCATCTGCAGGAAAAATGGGGGAAGAATCTTTACATTGCGTATATTTGCTATGGTCGAACTGTTTCATGAAGTTCTAAATTTTTGGTTAGAGGATGCCACTCGTTTTAGCTTTGCCATGCAAGCAGTGTGAAGGTATAGCTTTTGATCAATGATGCTATGGCAATAGGACCATCTTTAGCCAGGCTGAATGAGCATGATCTTTGAGCATTAATGTACGCAATACTCTACGTAACTGCAGGTCTAATGTAGTATTGACTACAAATATTGCCTTGTTTTTAGAACTTGGGTGAATTGTTTTAAGAACAAAACTTCGATAATCATTGTCAAAAAATCTGACCCTTATATTATTGAGACATATAGTTTCTTGGAGAGATGTTTATCTGGTTGGAGGAGGAGAACCACGTTTTTTTTTTACTATTTATGACAGTGAGGAAGACGGGAACTCTGCTGCAGCGGGAATTGGATGTCTCAGTTATATTGTCGGGTATTTATTTGCAATTGAAGCTTTTCTATTGTATGTAATAATTTACAGTTCCTTTATGTATAAGCTAATCATGTCGGAATGAGAGAGTTCCTTGTTTTACTGATTTCCAGCATAACAGGTTACTTGTAGTTTCCTGTGAAGAATTTGATGTGACAGTTTCGTTATTTGGCGGCTCAGATAAACCTGAACGAAGGTAACTGAGTGAACATAGGGCATTCGAGGTGAAGAGCAGAAAGCATGTGATAACTGATAATGATACTGATGTATCCACATTGCAAGGTAGACGGTTTCTGTAAAAAAAGTACCAACCCGGTTCGAGTCCCTATCTGGTGAGGATAACTTGCTCGTGACCTCGATTCCCATGCCAAGTGAGCTTACCGCTGAGCCAAGCCGGTCCTTCAAGGAAGATGATTCCTGTATTGACAAAAAAAAAAAAAGATAATGAGAATCATTTGCATTGTTTTAAAATATGATGCTACCTTTTGCGAGTTTCCTTGATTATTCTGTTGGAGTAGTTCTATTTGGTAAGACTGATTGCTACCGGTCGGACCATAGATGGTCGTGATAAACTATTGTTGTCTATTTTGGTTGCCTAAGCCTGAGATTACACGTACATAGAGATGATTCTGAGTGATGACTGCAGCAAATTCCGGTTTTCTCTTGGCGTGGAATCACTGATCTCATCTTACGTGCAATTTTTTTGTAGGTCAAACATGTAGATATCCAAAGCGCTTGTTCTCTTATGAAGGTGTTTATAGGGTGTTTGTTGCGAGTATAACCACTTTATATTCTCCTGGAAACTGGGTTCTGGGAATTGCACGAGGAGATCGGAGGGTCAGTTCCTTGTTTCAGGTAAAAGATAAGCACGTAAAAACCCATAAAATCATGTATTATATTTTTGGGGTTTTTCTTCTTAGAACTGCCTTTTTTTTTCGTTTTTTGGGTTATCAGATTCAAGTGCACTTACCAAAGTCTTGGAATCGCACCTGCAGCCAACAATTATGGATTGGAGGCTCTGATTCCTTATTATTTTTTTTGGTTCCTGGGTTTTCTTTGTTTTTCTGTTTGTTTCTCTTTTCAGTTGCCTTGAAGCCATCACAACATGCTGTACGAAGGAAAGGGGAAAGAAGACCGAGAGAGGTCAGAATCTTTGCAGAAGCCACTGAATAAGACATTTGTTTTATAAACCCTTCACTAATTCCTGCGGAATGAGGTAGTGAACTTGACCACCCCCCAAGTATCCAAACATACGATGCTTCAGATTTTCAACTGTCATTGAATTTCACCTTTAGCTTAATCACACACACTCCCTAGTGCTAGAACTGGCGCGATCCAGGAACTACAAATTAATCATCTCCCTAATTTCATCATCTACATTCTCTAGGATTTACCTCAAACAGCCCATCTTCTCATCTTTTCTCTTAAACCAGATATCATCTAAAACCAGATATCATCTATTGGAGGTAGTATTCTACTTGATAACACCAACTTTTCAAACGAAAACTAATATAAGTAATCAATGTCTATCTTCCTCTCATGAGATTCGACGAACCCACCAACATGCCTTACTTCGCCATTCTCTTCCTCTAAGCTACCTCCCATATGGATGTTTAAAGTCACAATTTGATCCTCCCATTCCCACATTATGTAGTAACCCAAATCTTTGGTAGGTTAACAGATTTCACAACAAAACGAAAGCAAAAAGAAAACATTCAACAAACAGAAATCGCTACAATGCGTAGAAATAAGAGGATAACTACATACCTCAATCCGAAATAACCTTCTAAATAGATAAGATAGTTGTTTGTCGCTCGATTTCGACAAAGTGAAGAAGCAAAAAAAGTGAAATTAGGGTTCCAAAGAAGGAGAAAACTATCGGGGGAGAGATTTTGGGTATTTTAGGGATTTTAGAGATTTTAGTGGTTTTATTAAATCTTTATGTGATGAATTGAACTAAATATATGCCACGTCATTTCTTAATCCTATGTGGCTGATGAGGTGGTCAAAATATATGCCACGTCATTTTTTCTGTCGGGGTTAGAACTACGATTTTAACGTCATTTAGTTAGAAGGATTTAATTGTCAATGTTTATAAAGTATAGGTATTTTTTCATCACATTCTAAAAATATAGCGTTTAATAGGATAAAAAAAAGTATAGGAATTAAATTGTGACAGATAAAAAAATACAAGGGAAATTTTTTTTTAAAGAAAATTGAATTGATCTAAGATTAAAATAAATTGTCTTTATTTGTGGAAAGGCAAACGCGGTTTTAGAAAACGCTTTATTGTAAAACACTCCCTCAAAGTCTCCAAACGTCATTTTCCGAACCACACCACAAACGCCAAAAACTTTGGAAGGCCTTCTCCTCTTCCATGCCCTCCCGCGTCTACCCTATCCTCCGCCATCTCCGCCTCTCCTCCCCGGAGACGCGTACAATGTCACGCAACGATCTCCTCCTCCATGCGCGTCTCCCTCAATCCTTCGGTGGCTTCAGCTCCTTCCGCTCCTTTCCCAGAGGCGCTGTTGTGAGCTTCGCGAATCGTCTCGATGTTTCTTGGCCTTCGCCGCCGTCGTTGTTCGGACGGAGATTCCATTCATTTTCCATCAGAGGAGGAATAGAATGGAAGACCCCAGTGCCTGTAGGTCGGGTGTTTGCGCAGAGGAGAGAGTACAGGAAGGTGAGAAGGAGATTGCCGAAGAAGAAGCAGGCCGAGTTGGAGCTCAGCGTCAGCATATGCATCGAGGAACAGTTGCCGGATGACCCCGACATTCTGGTTTGTCTACTTATTTCCTTCGTCATAGGACTTGGTTTCAATCATGTTCCGGGAAGTTGTCTTTTCTCTGTTTCATTGGTTAGTTCCATTGCTGAGCGAAAAAGGATGGGTCGAAACAAATTGATAATGAAGAGTTTACTATGATTACTTGTTAGCTGTCTTGAGAATGAGGAGGGATATCGTGATGTTCTGACCATTTCTTTAATTTGAATGTCAAATGCACTTATATGTGACTGGTACAAGGATTGTTCATTATCATTTCTATGTCGGAATAATCTTGAAATGGTGGGTTTGTGTTGAGCCAAAGCTGTTGAATCTCTTTCCTGTTTGGTTGAATCCACCCAATTCAAATTGTATTCGGTCTTTGCAGGTCTTTCATGGTGTTGTTTTTCGTTGAGCTTTTGTAGGGTATTGCAGAAATGCTCCGTCTCAATGTCCCAACAGCAATGAAGTTAGCTCTCGATCGGCTAAAAGATTCTGAGTATAAAACACGAGAAACTGCCATAGGAGATGTCGGGGGATTTGAAAGTGTGGAATTATCCGTCATGCTTTGTAATGATGAGTTTATCTGTAAGCTGAACAAAGAGTGGAGGGATGAAGATCATGCTACAGATGTGCTTTCCATGTCACAACATATTCCCGAACTGAAGCTTCCAGTGGTATGCTCTGTTTTCACCCAAAACTTACATAAAAATGTGGTTCCGAATTGTAACTCATCAAGAAGCATCCTTATTCTGTTTTCCTTTTGTTTTGTAGCTTATGATGGGAGATATTGTCATTTCTGTTGATACGGCTGCAAGGCAGGCAGAGGAAAGGGGACACACTCTTCTTGATGAGATACGAATCCTTGTGGTGGGTTAAAAGCTAATAGATTTACAATGTTTAGTTGTTGAGCAAAAATATGAAAAGGAAATGGAACATAGATCCTACTCGGAGGGACTTTTGAAGCAGCCCAACCTAAGTAAAAAATACTGAATTGTGATCTTACTTTGTTTTTGTATCTGAGTTTTCTTTTGCATGCAACCAACATTACAGGTCCTTGTTGTTGTAAATCTGATCGAGCATGATTTTAAAGTGCACTTTAGGTACTGAAAGAATGAGACCTGTGACTCCGTGGGAATTGGGATTTTCACCATGTCCACAACATAAGGCATTTTTGGTAGATGAGAAAAATTATTCGTTCATCCGTTATGTCTGTTTGAGAGCAAGGACAGTTGATCAGATTGCTTAGGAACTCGGGCTGAAATTATGTCTAGGAACCTGTTTTACTAAAGCTCATTATCAATTTATCTTTTCGTAGATTCATGGGTTGTTACACCTGTTGGGATTCGATCACGAGATCAGTGAAGAGGCTGAGAATGAGATGGAGGAGGAGGAGGAGTTGCTGCTAAAGAACCTTGGGTGGAAAGGGAAAGGACTCATTCAGAGTGCATATGATTCAGAAAATTCTGCTAAACCTCAGCTAGAAAATACAATAGGTAATATTGACACGTGGTCCTAATCGTGTCCACCATCTCTACTTGCCCTCTTATGTATTTGCTCTTCTATATATGTATGTTCTATGAAGGGGCCAGTTTGGTTCGACGGTAAAATCATTTGTCGTGGGGTCTGAGGTCATGGGTTTGAATCAGCCTCTCTGCATAAAGCAGGGGTAAGGCTGCCTAGTATATTCCCTTCCCAGCACCCCACCAGGTGGGGACACGGGTGGCCCTTTTATATGTGTGTTCCTGCTAACCTTACAGTTTAACTGTTAAAAGACAGGACGAAAGGGGGCAGTTTAAGATTCTACAACCCGAAGTTCAGATATATATTCTCTGATATGGATGGTAATGTTACCTATTTTTACTATCTTTAACCTCTGGTTTCTAATTTTATTGTTGTACGTTATATCTAACACGATTAATAATGTGAATTCTAGGCACACTGCTTAACAGCAAAAGTCAAATTTCAGAGACTAATGTAAAAGCTCTAAAAGAAGCCATGTCTAGGGGGCTAAAAGTTGTGATCGCTACCGGAAAGGTAAGAAGTGTACATGTAACACTTTGTTTCACTGTTGAAGCGGTTATAAAATTACTGCTAAATGGTGCTCTGAATTTCGTTCCCCCTTCCATGTTTTTCATTTTTCACGGAATAATGTCTCATTGGTGGTCCATTTAGCACAGACTCGTCCAAGTGTGATTAGTATCTTGGAAAAGGTTGATCTAGCTGGTCACAATGGCATTGTTTCGGAGTTATCTCCAGGTGTTTTTGTACAGGTATTCTATATTACTTAACCTCAGATTCTTCTAAAATGCACGGTTGCATTTAGTCATCATATTTCTCATTAAATTTCTGCTTGTTCTAGGGTCTACTTGTCTACGGTAGACAGGGGAGGGAAGTTTTTAGAGGAAACTTGGATCCAAGCGTCTGCAAAGAGGTAATCAAATCCACTTTGGAGTTGACTTAAAACTTTTTAACGGCTATTTTCATTTTGGATTCTAACAATATCCTGATAATGTCTCATTGGTGGTTTTATATTTCTGGAACTTTTCTCTCTTTGTAGTGTATATGGGGTATGGTTTAACCTGGAATCAATTTTTGCTCGTGGTTGAACATCCGGGCATTAAGTTTTGCGTTCATGTCTCGTGTCATCTAAGAGTTAGTTTTGGTGGTTTCTTGATTTTGAATGCAAATGCAGGCGTGCCTTTACTCTCTAGATCATGGAATTCCTATCATCGCATTCAGCCAAGGTCGTTGCTTGACACTATTTGAACACCCGCTCGTTGATTCTCTTCACACCATATATAAAGAGCCAAAGGTGGCTTAATGCTATTGAACTATGTTTCATTCGCCTTTCCGATTATAGCTCGATCAGCCTTTTACACGATTGATGTGTTTTACGTTGACAGGCTGAGATCATGTCATCGGCGGAGCAGCTCATAGGTGCTGCCGACATTCAGGTATTTTCCCGAGCTTATAACGTAAAAGAAGCATCTGAAATATTAGTTTTCAGTTTCTCACAAATGTATCGGTTGTGTGTATTTACATATACAGAAGGTGATTTTTTTGGACACAGCCGAGGGTGTATCTTCCGTTATCCGTCCATATTGGTCGGAAGCAACAAGAGACCGTGCCAGCGTCATTCAAGCACAGGCAGACATGCTTGAGGTTGTCCCCCTAGGAACCTCTAAAGGAAATGGCGTAAAACTCTTACTGGATCATTTGGGTGTTTCTCCAAACGAGGTAAATCTAGTTATCTTTCATTACATCATTCAAATAGTCTAAAGCTCGGGTACAACGAATCAACGATGCAGGTGGACCGACTTTTCAATCCATTGAACAATACAGACTCAAGATTCTTTAAGTGTTTCATTGCAAATGTTTGTGGGTATGAAACAGATAATGGCGATAGGGGACGGGGAAAACGACATTGAGATGCTCGAGATGGCGGCTCTCGGGATCGCTCTAAGCAACGGGTCCGAGAATACAAAGGCCGTGGCCAATGTGGTTGGCCTCAGCAACGATGAAGATGGTGTTGCTGATGCCATTTACAGGTATGCCTTCTGAGACAACATCAAGAACAAGAGAGAGGAGCACAACGTTTCTCCTATTTTAATTTAACATTAAACATCTTCGAAGAGAAATGAGAATTGATTTTTTTGGTCTAATTAAAGTAAACCAAAATTGATGTTTCGAGAGAACATGACAGGATTGAGGCCGGTTATTTCCGGTACAGGTAACTGTGCATCTCGTTATTCATTCTGTTGGTATGTTAGTTTAAATGCCTGACAATTTTTTTATATTTTATATATCCTTTTTAGTTGATTTTTAAGATATTTTTAAATTATTTTTTAATTATCATCTCATAAAAACTAAAATTTAAAAATAATTAATAAAATATAAAAAATAGAAATTTAATCTATCTAATTTTTCTAAGCAAAAGATAGCTTTATTATTCAAAACAATTATTACTAAATCTAAAAATGATATAATCACATGATTTTATTATATCTTTTAGTAAAACGTAATACCAAAAAATAAACTCAAATCATGATTTAAGTAAAATCATCAACAAAAATATGTATAATATTCTGTAAATTTGTTCATTCAAACATATCCCACATATTCCTAAAGGTATGATTTGAACCCATGGCTTTGCGAGGTGAAAAATGATAGATTCAATCTCAAAAGTTACATGAATGCAATTTCTTAACCCAGATTCTCAAATGATCTAAATAAATGGTATCCATCGTCAACAATATTTACCCAATCTAAGATTGGACGGGCTCAACTAGCAAGGAATAAAGTTCTTTTTCATCCCATATTCGAGTTTTTATTTGGAGAAGAACATTCACTCGTACTTCTCCATTCCTACAGAAGATTTAGTTGGATCAAATATCCGATAAACTTTCGAATTATAAAAAAAACTATATTCTCAAAAACACTATATTTTTTATTTAATCGCGTTTCAGCTCGAAGTTATAATATATTTAGAAACAATAGATAATAATAACATAATACAGATAAAAGATATAAACCAAACAAAAACAAAGCTAGACAAATGCAAGTATTCAAATAAAATCCCCAAAGAAGAAAGACGATTTTCTTTCTCGTTTATTGTTATATTAAATTTCTCTAACCTAACATTATTTTCCTAATTTCTTTCTGTTTCTCTTTTTTTTTGGGTAAAAATCTTTTTCTTTCTCTTTCTCTTTCAGTTTCGTTTTCCGAACCCAACTAACCATCCTAACATGTGATGCTACACGACCACACGATCCTACAACGAATCATTCATTTGGCTACGATAAATATGATTTCAAAATCCATATGACATGATATCAATTGATCAAAATCAAGATACATAAAAAAATTTGAAATCGAAAAATCTATTATCGTTCTATCGCTCGATTTTTGTTTCTTTTTCGAAATCATCTTTTTTCTCTTATTTTCTTTCGAAATCGTTTTTTTCTTTTTCTATGCTTTTAGTATTTGAAATGTGATTTTCTTATTTAATAAAGAATCATATATATCAGTATATATACAGCAATATAAGGTCGAAACAGATCATAACAGATAACTACAAACTAGAGATATACATGATCAGATACAATCGAATAAAAACATAACAACCGGAGACTTCATCCAGTTTGGTCTGTATGTGCTGATACATGTGAGCATTCCCGCCAGGACATATATACACATAATATGCCCCCTTCAAGATACAGACGCAAGGAAGAGGCTTGACAATTGCAGCCTTCCCAAAAGAACCGAAAAGAGAGCTAGTTGCAGCTGCTTGGTAAAGATGTCAGCTAACTGTTTGTCGGAAGAAACGTGCATCATGTTCAACAATATTAATATTTTTATGGGACAAACTAAAAAAAAATCTCCAAGTTTTCTATTTTCACCAAAAAACCTTCTACTTAAAATTCATCATAAAAAATCATCAACTATCAATTTAAAGCAAAAAAGACCATTAACTATATAGTTTTTTAAAAAACAATTTTTCACTTTAAATTTGTTATAAAAAAATCATCAATTATATGGTATAATAAATTTAAATAAATATTATTTTTTATTGTGATCTTTAGAATTATAAAATTTACATATGTTTTTTATTTAAATTTTATAAATTTTTATAATAAATTTTAAAACAAAATATTTTGTAGATAGATGATTAATTTTTTTATAAAAATTAATAATTGATGATTTTTTATAACAAATTTAAAGTAAAAGATTTTTAAAAAAAAAATTTATGTAGTTAATGGTCTTTTTTGTTTAAAATTAATAGTTGATGATTTTTTATGATGAATTTTAAGTAGAAGATTTTTTTGGTGAAAATAAAAAACTTGGAGATTTTTTTTGAGTTTGTCTCTATTTTTATTGAGGGGTAAATCAAAACACCCACATATTAAAATGAAGAATTTTATTGAGGGGTAAATATGTCATTTTGCAGAATATTTTTGTCAAAGATTGGGATTTGAAAAAGTTGGCGGATGAAAGCGAAAATAACAGAGTAGATAGATATACTGCTATATTGCCTTTTTTTAAGCTGTCTTTAATCAATAAAAAAAATTATTATTTTCATGTGACTGAAAAGTTGGAAGTATTTTGTTGAATTATTACAACTTATTTCATCAGAACTAAAAAAATATAAATCGACTTCGAAATTACATAATTTGTTCCAAAACTGATTTTTGGACTGGTAAGTTGTTTTACAAATCTAATTATCATAGGAAAAATTGTTATCTGACCGGATTGATTTTAAAAAACATATTATGGTGAATATATAGGTATTTTGTTTTCTTATTTATTATGTAATTTTTTAAAACTTGGTGTATTTGGTGTTACAACCATATATTTGGTTCCTTTTTTTTTCCTCAGTTTTTTTTGGAAAATCTCATACAAAATATGTTAAAAAAATACATCAATTTTTAATTTGTTTGGAATTTTTTCGTACATAGATTTTATACATAGATTTTAACAGATTTTGATCGAAAACAATTTCATATACATATATTAACAACAACATCAATGTGTAGGAAAACTATTTTCAATTTCATATTCATATATATTTTTATGAGATTTTTTTTCCTTTTTTTTAAAGATATGCCAAGAAAAGCAAAACGAATAAACATATATTTATAAAAGTATAAATATGAATGATGTCGTATGAATAAGGAAATTTGAGAGAAAATGTTAGGAGTGGACATAATATTCGAAAAATCCGAACCGATCCGTTATTCGATTCGTATCCAAACCGAAAATTTGGATATTCAGAGTTCATGAATCGGATACGGATATTTGTTTAAAAATATTTGTTGGATACGTATACCAAAATCAAATTATCTAACATATATGATTTGATCTATACTTTTTAATAATATTATATATCTAATAAAGGAATAATTTGTTATGGAGATTTAGAATGATTAATCTTTATAATTTTTTTAATAGAGATTCAAAACATGTTTTTTATATATGAAAAATTATCATTTTTAATCTTTTGAATAAAATTTTATGATTTATAATCTTTTAAATTTTGAATATGTTTGAATATGGTAGATTATGATTATGTTTGTATTTGACTTGATTTAGAAAATTATAGTGTATATTTGATAAATTATAAATTTTTATATACGTTTGAGTTTGTTTTGTAATTTTATTTCTCATTTTTATCGAAATTTTAAATCGGATACAAATATTCACAAATATTTAAAGTTTTTCGAATATCCGAAAATTACGGATCAAATACGCATAACAAAATTAAATATTTGTATGCACCGCATACAGATAAAGATATATAAAAAGTTTCATATATCCTCAAAGTTCCGTATATCCATTCCATGTTCACCCCTATTAAAAGTTAAATAAAAAATGTTTTCATAAAAGCGACTGATTTCGATTAGAAATGAATTAGTAAATTCGATAAGAACACGAATGAAAATTTGGATGGATATTATAAGAGGATCATAATAAAAAAAAAATACTCACTCTCTTAGAAAATATATTGTTACATTTTTCGTCTGTGAAAAAGTTTGTCTTTGTGTTTCAGGACAAGGTTGAGTTTATATCCATCTCTCCTTCACATAGAAAATTATCATAGAAAGGAAATTCTACGGCTGATATAAAACTCGGTATTGAGACGAGTTCGAGTTTGACATCAATAAGAACTCGACTTTCGGATTCAGGAGAATTCGTACATTCCACCGTCCCGTCTGCCCTTTGGCTTTCCCTCCCCTCCCCTCCTCCGATCCTTAGCTACTTATCTTTACCCCTCGCTACTTTCTATTTTTTCACCTTGCCTCACCCTTCGTGAGGGTTCGGGTAACCTAGAGGTATCCGATCGGCCCAGGTCCAACTATGGATTCATAACTTCAAAACATGGATTCGAAGTCGGATAACCCAAAATCTCAAGTACTCAAAAACCAAAGTCTTTGCTGTCCTAAAAAGCTGCATGAAACTCTTGTTCCAACGTTACATTTTGTGATCAAGGAGATTACATATTCATCTAATTTTTCTATCACACTGAATATATCCCATTGATAAGAAGTTTCTGAAGTTTACAGATTGCATATACAATGAACTTGAAGAATGGCGAAACAAAAGTTTGCAGGGACTTAACTACTTCGTTTTTGGAGGACTTACAGCTTACAAATAGAAGAATTCTAACTAGAGTTAGACAAAGATGTCCATGGAATGTTGACAAGAAACTTACACCAATATCTCCTTCAACTAAAGAACTTGTGAATCCGAGAATGTCAACTGAGGACCCATGATTTTTTTAGCCTCTGTAGATGCCAGAAGGCTCCGCGTTTTGCACAATCCATGGATGCTGCAGAACTTTGTGCAACGGCAGACGTTGCGAATAATCCCTGACAAGCATCTAATATTCGGGAAAACAATGACATTAGATTCGTTTTTCAATGGAGGATTTCGAACGAGGGGGGTATTGATACTAACCTGACTGATCAGATCCTTTGCCGTTTGAGAGATAACGGGTTTCGGAGGGAACTTGAGATCGACTTGCACAATCCTGCAGCATTTTTATGGTAAAACAGCTTTGAGATCGTCGAGATAATCATACGATCTCAACAGTTGAAACGGAGTGCAATACCTTCTGTATGTGTCTGAGTGCTCCCTGGCCTCAAAAGGAGGGATGCCATAGAGGAACTCGTAACAGAGAACTCCAAGACTCCATATATCTACGCTCGCATCATGTTCCACACTTTCCACTGTATTATCAAAAGGCTGAGGTTAAAGCCGTAGTGAATGGAACTCCCAAACCAGGTGCAGAGGACAGAATTTCTGGCAACTCTTCACTTACCCATCTCCGGAGGAAGGTAATCCAATGTGCCACACATGGTCCTTCTGCGGTTAAATGTGTGTACCGACCAACCAAAATCTGCAATCTTGAGCTCTCCCTGTTGGAATCAATCCGTGGATAGAGGTTTAGAGACTCTAGTTTCGATAAAATGGCATAAACATCAATTGTAAAGGCAAAAAAGATATGGACTTTGTCACCTCTGCGCCAATCAATAAGTTTTCTGGCTTGATATCTCTGTGAATCACATGCTTTCCATGGCAATAGATGAGAGCTCTGGCCAATGATGCAACATACTATCACATGCAAGAAGATTATTAGTTTCTACCACTTGAAGTTCAGAAAATGGCGAAGTTGGAATATCAGAGACAAGAAAAAGATCAAATGTGAATAAAAGGAATTACCGTTGCCGCTCTTCTTTCACTGAAATGTTTGCACCTCTGGAGTTCCTTGTAAAGTTCACCTCTAGCAGCATACTCTAAAATCAAGTAAACCCTTTTCTGCAACAACGATTCCCCATAGATGTGTTACCAAGCCGAGACACATATCTCAACGAGGAAGTCAGTCATACAGAAAGACTTTTAGCATACTTGATCATAGAAATAACCGTATAATCGCAGTATATTGGGATGACGGAGATGAGACTGTATCTCGACTTCCCTCCGGAGCTGATGCTCAACTTGAGATTGTTGAAGCTGGCTCTTGAACAGAACCTTTAGAGCCACAATGTGATTACTCTGTATCACAAGCACATAAAGGTCAGCTTTGGTACGATACTCAAGGAGATACAAAAGCTGATATATAATGGTTTCTCGGGATTTCACCGAGAAAGTGTAAATGCTAGGGTTCATCTACTTGAATAGAAGTTGAACAAGTATAAGAATTAAGGTATGAGTCTTCAGAACTTCGTCTATGAGAACAAAGGGGAAAAGAATCAAAGCATACTGACCCGTTTCTCTCTCGCTAAATATACATGGCCGAATTTTCCTCTTCCGAGAGGCTTTCCGATGTCAAAATCACTGAGAGTCCATCTCTTCTGCACATCTGCTGAAGCCTCTGACGCTTTCTGAAAAAGGAAGTCACATGAATTGAATGCGACCAGCTTTCAGAAACAATCTTCTATAACATCTAATTTGAGAGTGACAGATCTATTGGATCCCCGTCTCTAAAATGGAACTTTTCAATTGAAGTCCTATTTATCAATATTAAACCTACAATTCAACAGGTTCACAGATCACATCTCCAAAATGTAGACAAATTTATCATCACTAACCCTAATACTCAAGTCTTGCTCATATCCTTTGTGACCTCACAGGAAAAAGACCCTACAACCCAACAATCGCAAGGATCCTTAAGCTGAACCAAATCGTAGAAACGAAACGAATTTCCATTCTTCCCAAGATCAATCCCTCAAACTACACAGAACAAATTCGAAAAAAAACGAATAGAATTTTCATTCTTCCCAAGAACAATTAAGCAGCGCATGGATAATTCCAGATCTCATTCTCTAACTTCAAAGCCAAAAGATTTAAAACAAAGATCAAGGAAGAACCCCGACAGAGAAAAAAGGTTTCACACCCTAAATCGAAACAAAATCGGAACAAATCTGGGTTCCGAAATCGTGAACAGTGGGTGTTTCATTACCTTCTCCTGCTGCTGAGTCTCTGTAGCAATCGCCATGGAAGAGACCCGAGAGAGAGGAATTTTCGAAGAAAACAGATGAATGGAGGATGAAGAGGAGCGGGCTAAACAAGGAAAAATTAAAAAGGGCAAAAACCCGAGCAACGGTCGAATTTTAGGACGTCACGTGGCATGATCTGAACCATTAAACTGCTTTTCAAAATTTCGATTCCTCGCCCCGAGATATGAGTTATACTAACTTCACTTGACTGTGACAGTTTTACCTCACAGAACTGGGCCCGAACTAAGAAGCCTAATTCGTAAATTTCGATGGCCACGTGTTATGATCCTAGCTTCATGCAGAAGCTGACACAGGCGCGCGTGACACTGCTCTACTCGCCTAATCGTCCACTTCACACGCGTCACGTGGACACAGATGCCGTCATCGCTCGCCACGTGTCCTCCCTGCTCCTCCTTATATACGTCCACATCATCATCCTCTTCCTCCTCGGCGAAATCAAAATCCCTAAAATTTCTCAGAAAATGGCGGATCAACCGGCGACGCGCAAGCTCTACGACTCGGCACCGTCGGCTCGGCAGACGGTGAGATTTCTAACGGCGACGACGATCGGCTTGTCGCTCCTGGTTCTGTCCGGTTTAACCCTGACCGGGACGGTTATCGCTCTGGTTTTGGCGACGCCGTTGATGGTTATCTTCAGCCCGGTTCTGATTCCGGCGGTCATAACGATGGTGGTTCTCGCCGCGGGGTTTCTATTCTCCGGCGGGTGCGGCGTGGCGGCGGCGACGGCGCTGTCGTGGATCTACAGATACGTCACGGGAAAGCACCCGATCGGTGCGGATAAGATCGACTACGCGAGGATGAGGATCGCGGAGAAGGCGAAAGAGTACGGACATTATGTGCAGCAGAAAACGCATGAAGCCACGGGGACGACTCAATGATGGTGATGGTTGTGGGAATGGTGAATCGATCTGGCGAGTGTTTCTGGTTCCTTCGTTTTGTGTTTTGGGTGAGTGTGTGATGTATGTTAATAAGTTATATTACGTGCCCTTTTTCATTGTTTACATGCCTTACCACGCGATTAATAATCAAATTATCCGAGACTTGGAAGAAAATGAATGAAAAAAATTGATAAAGAGTTGTACAAAAAACGGGTGACATGCAGAAGAAATTCTCGAAGGAGAGAGATTTCCTACAAGCCTTCGTATAAAAATGTAGATATTGAGCTTTATATATATAGTGTTTAGTGATATATCATATATATATATATATATATAAGCTTATGTACCATATATAGGGTTGTCGATGCGTTGATAATCCGTATCCGCATAGATTTCGGTCAAATGAGATGCATTGGATTATCTCTGTGGCAAACACGTACGATTTTGGATTTGTTCTTTGCACTTATGGATATAAAATAAGATGAATTTCTGTATTATGTTTATGATGTTATGATCTTATAATACTAGGAATGACATGGGATGTTAATTGTTGTCTATTTAATTAATCTTATCTGGTCGACGTTTTGGTATTTGGTTCGGTACAAATGGAAATAATTTGGTTCGTTTTTTTTGGTTTTATCAAAATCTAAAATAGATTTTGGATAATAGTTGATTGATTATTATATGATATTCGGTTTTATTATATGATATTTGGTTTGGTTTGTTTTTTATTTTTGTTAAAAAAAATTAGATCTTTTTAATAAAATTTTAGATTTTTATGATGTCAAGTCTTGGATAGGAATTCAGTTATCTATGAAGGACCTAGGAGAAACTGTTTATATTTTAGTCATCAAGATCTATAGAGATAGAGTACATACATCGATGAGATCTTGAATCGGTTTACGATACAAGATTTCAAGAAAAAAATTTTACCGCTGGACAGTGGTATAGTTCTTCGCAAGAGTCAGTGTCCAAAGACACCTGATGAGTAAAAACGTATGGATAGGATTCCTTATATTTTGGCAATTGAGTCATCATTTTGGTAATTGAGTCATCATATATGTCATGTTGTGTATTCGATCCGATGTCTCTTATGTGTTGAGTATTACGAGTAAATACTAGTTGAATCCAAAAGAGATACTAGATTATCGTCAAGAACATCATCAAGTACCTGAGAATGACTAATGATTTGTTCTTGGTGTATAGTGGATTGAAAGACGAACTCGCTATAAGCGTTATACCGATGCTAACTTTCAATCTGATTCAGATGACTACAAATCGCAATCTGACTATGTTTTTTGCTTAAACAGAGGCACAATTAGCTAGAAAATTTTCAAACAAGCGACCGTTGCAGATTTTATTACAGAGGCTAGCTGAGTATATAGCCGCATCGGACACAACAAAAGAAGCTGTTTGGATCAAAAAATTCATCGGCGACCTGAGTGTCATTCCTAGTGCTGAGAATCCTATTGTATTATACTGCGATAACAATGGGGCTATCGGTCAATAGGAACTTAGGTCTCATCAACGATCCAAACACATACTCAGACGATTTCACTTGATAAGAGAAATCATAGACAGAGGAGACATCAACATATGCATGGTATTGATAGATGACAACATTGTCAATCCTTTGACGAAACCACTCCCATCGCCAAAACATGAGAGTCATGTGAGAGATATGGGTATTAGATGGTTTGTAAAGCATAATTAGAACAAGCGGGAGATTGTTGGTTTAGGTGCTCTATATTGCTTCACGATATGAGTACCGAGATATTTTATATTGACAGATTCATGATTTTGGTTAAGTAAATGAATGTTCTTTTTCTGTATTCATTTTGCATGTTTGATGAATAAGAAAATCCATGGTTCGTTATGAACGATCTTAAACTCTCTAGTCGTGTATTATTGTGGAAATGATAATACAATAAGACTAGCATGATGTGTGATAGATGATCATATGAATGATCATGTGTATTGGATACAAATCACAATCATGTGTACTGATTAAGAATGTACTCGATGATCCGCATGAAATTGTCACATGGACATGAGTCATGACTTGAATCCCATGTGATAGGTTCATGATTAGATCATTTGACCTGAGATATTACAGTATCCTATATGAGGAGTGTCGTATTTTGATTTCGTCAAATGTCTTGCGTAACAGAAAGATTATAACGACGTCTCTTGAGTAAGACATGAATCAATTTCGGATAGTAGATAGTCAATAAGAAATTTATACTTCTCATTCCGAGAGAGATATCGCTTGGCCCCCTCGAATGAGTTGAGACTGAGATGTGTGCAATCCGGTGATTCTGATATTTCAATTAACTCAATGAACGAGAAAAGCAGTCGAATCTGATAAGATGGTTGACTCCATGTCTTATGTTCGATATATGATATCGCGTTACAAAAAGATCATTATATGGACTATTACCGGCTTTCGTTAGATAACGAGACTAACTCTATTCGGATTAGGTAGTCATAGTGTCTTGCTAGAGACCGCCTATGATTTGTATTACCAGAATGAAGATTTCGTGTCTTACTGATATTCCAAAAGAGCCTACAAGTCACACACACAGGGACAAATATGCATAAATGTAGAGTATCGGACAGAAGAAATCGAGTTTGGCCTGACAAATGGGTTTCGGAAGAAATCGGAAGGCTGAGAAATTGTTTCTCAGAAACTGGAACCTGACCGGATCCAAGTGGAACCGGACCGGATCCAGTTGGTTCAATTTCACCCGAACTCGGCCTAGAAAGCAGTTTCCGGGCTAGGCTGGAATTGTACTAGTTTGAGCTGGAACCGGACCGGTTTCGGATTTTGGGAACTTTCCTATTCTAACTAAGATTAGGGCTTTGGGAAATAATATTAAAGGGGCATGACTCCTAGGGTTTTGGTAAGCCTCCTCAGACTTTTAGAATAGAATTAAGAGTCCCAAAACCCTTTTTTTTTAATCCCTGAAACCCTAGCATATTTTGGAGATTCAGATCTCTTGTCCTAGAAAAATAGTTTCAACCGTTGGAATCCATCCGAACGTGTGGATACGTGTAGATGGCTTGATACATTTCTTGCCTTCTTGTGATTGGCGATTCAGCTTTGAGAATAGGTCCAGAATCGTTATAGATGTACTATCATGCATGTTCGGTTTTAGGATTTTGTTTAGAAATTTTTTTGTGTTTCATCTTCCGCTACATGAACCTTAGAATCGGATCTCTAAGATTATGAATTGTTAGTGAGATCGCAGGAATCCCAACATAAAGAAAAGTGATGAGCTCATGAATGTTGATTTCCTACTTATCGACGAAAAGGTATAACGAACATCATGGTACCATTTTGAAAATTTATTTGTTTCTTGTGATCACAAATATAATTGTTTATTTTATTAAATATTTACTTATTTCCTTCTTCTTTTTTTCTTTTATAGCCTAATGTTTTATAAGGATCTATAAGTCGCAGTGTTTGAGTGAGTACAAAGATGTTTTAAGTAAATTGACAATATATGTTCTAACTGATTTTTATGTTGTTAGGGCTAATGAACTCTTTAACTTACTGATTTCAAGTTATCCATTCGTTTCACGGAACAAACTAATATTTTAGGAGTTGGAGACACCGGAATTGAGATACCTAAAGAGATTTTTAGGTTTTGAGATTACGATGAACTGATTATAGGTGAATCGATATATCATCTTAATTGAGTTTTTTTTCATAATTTGTAAAATTATTTATTCATTGATACTAATTTTTTGTTATTTTGTACTATTAACGAAGATGTTATTGGTTGTGTCCGAATTATCAAAGATACTCATAACGAATCTTATTTGTCCAATCAAAGAGTTGTTGTTGACCTACAAATGGTAAGGTATATAAATATTTATATAGTTGTATTTTTTTAATATTAAAATATGCTTCAAACAAGTGTTATATCTGTTTTCGCCATTTTTATGTTTTTTAATTGTATGTTTTATTGTTTTTGTAATGTTAAAAACATTCGAGTGACTGCATGAGATACGAAAAAGCTGACGATATTCGTTCAAAATTGGAGAAAATTCCTAAATAAATACTTAAAACTATAAAAATCCCATGTAAATACCTAAACTTTTTAAAACTTCCACAAGAATACCTAGAATTTTAAAAATCTCTCAAATAAAACAATATATGTTAACGGCGTTTGATCCTGCAAATCTAGGTGAATGGATTTGAGTCAAGTAATAAAACCTAGATTAAGCCGATTCCGCAAGGGTACGGATTCGATGTAGTACTAGGGTCGAACACAGGGATCGAGAGATGGTGGAGTCGATTCTAATTCTAGTGAAGGTCGAGAGCAAAATAGTTGGTTGGTTGGAAAACTCTATACTAAAGGCATTGTAGGTTCAGGATTTCATCGATGCTATGTGTAACGCCCCGAGACCGCTACGGAATGCCAAAGTTGTCCCCACACACCAACACGAGATCTTTTAGCGTGTTTTATCCTTACTTGCACATATTCCGGAAAGTACTTATGAGGAGGTTATCCATCCTAAGGCTACTCTAGAGCAAACACACTTAATTTTGGAGTTCTCTCGAGATAGACAACCGAAAAGTTAGATACATCTTGTTGGTATGAGTAGCTCAATCAATTCTGTTATGTTATCATTGATTGTGTAGTCCTATACCTATACAGCTTTCGGATCCCTCTCATTCTAGTACGATCGATTTATTTTTTGTACCTCTACCTAGAAGATCGCCAGGAGCTGTCCTTTGTTCGTGCCTCTCGCACCGGCGATCACTTCCCGCCCTCCTACGGTACTCGGGCTATCATAGGCCCAGGAACTTTCGCCTAGTTTATGCACACCGTACTGGGAGAGAACCGACTCTGATACCATTTGTAATGCCCCAAGGCTGTTACAGAATGATAGAACTGTCCCCACACACCAACACAATACATTTTAGCGTGTTTTGTCCTCACTTGCACACATCATGGAAAATACTTCTCAGGAGATCACTCATCCTAAGACTACTCTAAAGCGAGCACGTTTAACTTTGGAGTTCTCTCGAGATGAACAACCAAATAGGTAGATTCATCTTGTTGTTATGAGTAGCTCAATCAATTCCTTTAAGTTATCATTGACTGTGTGGTCTGATACCTGCACAGGCCTCAGATTCCTGTTATTCTGGTGCATTCGTTTCA